TAGGCTGATATTACAAGTTCTAGTAAAGCTTTACAGCTTAATAGATCCTGGCAAGTATCTTTAATCTATAACTAGGAAAAAGATAAAAATTCTTAAAAATCTAAATTTTATGAATAACAAAAAAAATTCAGTGGGAATTAGAGTGCAAACTCAATTAATGAAATGAAACTAGTGGTGCATGGCATCGTGCCTTAAGGCAAATTGCCGGTACTGCAATTCAAAATTTATAAAAGCTCAGAAAAAAATCGATTTCTTTTTTGAGAATTTATATTTTTTTTAAAAACTTAAAAAAATTTGGATATTGAAAAAAATGCCTTTTTTGAAAATACTAATATTTTTTGAAAATTTAGAAATTTTTTGAAATCTGAAATTTTTTAATTTTTTTGAAAGTTTTTGACAGCCATTCATATTGGTTGAATTCAAATTACAAAATTTCTAATTTTCGAACGCAAAATGACGTTTTTTAAAAAAAATCTGGATCTCCGAAACCGCTGGAACTGCCCTTGCAAAAACTTAACAAATTCTTCATTACGTCAATACAAGTGAAATGTTTTTTGAGTCATCAAAATCGGATACACTATTCTCTCACAAACTTAATTTCTATTTTCTGCACTCTTTGCTCCCAAATTTGGGTTGAGCGATGCTCCCAAAAATGTCGACGAAAAAATGTATCCACACAAACAAACGCGCACACACACACACATCCATTTCTTCTGAGGTATGCCAAAATGTTCAGAAACCTCTGAAACGTGAAAGTATGTAAAAAACATTATTTCTGATTTTTAGACGATTACAATAACTCACCATAGGGGAAGTTAATTTAGAAAAATGGTAACCTTAACGTTAATCACACTTTCCTGATTTGAGTTATAGTCAAACTCCAATCGCTGATCAGAATTCGTGCAAAAGACCCATTAATAATTTTAGTTACAAACGAAAAATATTAACGCCGAAAATCCTAAATTTGGCTAATGCACGAACTAGAACCCATTTTAACGTCGCAATTAAAAGCCTAAAACGCGCACGCCGAGATACGAGTGTCCACGCAGACATAAAGGTAAAATAAAACATCATAATCACAAACATTCAAGCTATCGATCGAATTAATAGTCTGTGTTATATTTATGATCCTTCACGGAATAATAGAATGATGGGGGCGAACGTTGTAAAAATAGAATTATTTCTGCGCCAGGAGAGGAATACGATAGAAACTTCTATGCATTATAATTGAAATTGGAAAGGATAAGTTTGATATAGGTATACAGTTATACGCCTATTTTAGCACATAAACTGCTGCGCACGCACATGTTGCGTGAGACCCTTTTCAATAGCCAGGCGCCGAGCGCAACGTAACGTGAGTAATGAAGAAACAGAAACATTTTAAACACAGGTATTTTAAACAAAAACACTCCTATTTCACATATTTTGGTACATTTTTTTAAATTGCTAGCTAACATGTCCAGAAATGATTTAATATCAAGCGAATGGGAAAGTTTTGCACAGAGGGAAGCATAGTCAACACAAGGTCAGCAGTAAATGTGTTAATAATGGAGTTAGGAAAATTTGGTCAGAATATTGGCTATGTCTGGAATTTATTAATTCCAAGCCTACATTTTATACAAAAGAAAAAATAATGTTAACGAGTATATTTATAAAACCAATAAAATTCTAATTCAGTCAGATCATTCAGCCTGGTCTGCAATTTCAATTTTTGCCTTTAGAAAATATGATAAAAGTTCAAAGGAGCCAAAATAAATTACTTAAAAAAACTTGAATGCTGCAATGTATATTCCAATATTAACTAATTTGAATGACCCAATGTATGTACCAATATTAATTTACTAGAAAACAATATTAACGAATATATTTATAAGAATCAATAAAATTCTACTTCAGTCAGATCATTCGGTCTAGTCTGTGATTACAAAATCTTGCCTTTAGAAAATGTTGGTTATATTTGGACATACAGTATACAACTATGGGGACTAGCTCCTCAAACATGATAAAAATCCAAAGATGCTGAAATAAATTACTCAATTTTTTTTAAATGTTCTAATTAACTAAATTGGTTGAAATAGGACAACTCAGACAATTATAAAAGCCTCCTCGAGGATCATCCAAGCCTATTTGCCAGAGAACTAGGGCATAACACCACTAGAGCAAGATTAAAAAAGAAATTCATGTTGCATTAAAATATGCCAATTTTCAAAAGTTCTGACATTGGTCTACAGATTTTGAATTTTCGAAGTCCTTTTTTCTCCTACAGTTCTACTTGTAGTCTCTTTCAGAACAGGTGTAAAAATCACTATACAATGATAAAACAATAGTCGTTGATGTGTGGATGAAGCATCTATAACATTCAAAAAATCTGTCAAAATTATATTATTGTATGCAACTAAATTTAAAAAAATATGCCTTTGACTCTATATATTTCCGCACAGGTTTCTTATTTTAATATGTAACAATCTCTATATTAAACCGATCGCAATAAATTGAAAAATACGCGCTCCTTCTGAAAGCTCACGTTTCTGCACGTTATCGTATTACAAAGAATATAAATTGTAAAAATAGTAAGTAATCGCACACAACATTTTCGATCGTTAAAATGTATTGTCACAGGTAATGGTATCCACGCCAGATGAAAGTATTATAATTGATCGATTGGTTTGTATTTATATTCCTCTGGTGCTGAAATGATGATTTGTCACAATTCAAATAGTATCATATAATCCTCTACATATTGAACAGTGCAATTATGAGAGCGTGTTACAACTTCGTAATGTTAAATAAAATATATGGCGCATCGTTGGCACAATATTTATCAAAAACTCGCTCGGCAGAGCAGTAATTAAAACGTCATCGTTATACGGTTATTAGAAGTAGAAGCACCGATGATTTATATCAGTCGATATATTTAAAATGCGTCCAACACAAATACGGATGATAAAACAAATATATTCGGTCCGAAATATGACAAGATACAGAGCATTGCGGCAATCCGTTCGGATAATGAATAGAATTGAGGAATAACTGGTTGGAAGTGACAATTTGCCTTAAGGCGAGTTGCATGAATTGAAAGAAAACTGGTTGTAAGCCACAATTTGCCCTAATCCACTTAATCATGAAGTTCTATTTATTCTCATATCTTAACAGTAATCAGAACCTTACGTCCTGCGAGCTATTGGGCTGAAACTTCTCCTTACTTCGTATTTTTAGATGGTGACCCATTGGTTAATCCATCCATACTTGATGATTTTATTATTAGACTTTATCTAACAGGGCTGACTTTTTATTGGTGCAGCTTTTTATTAATTCACTTAATCATAAAAAATTATCAACCGTTTATTTCAAAAATCATGTTCACGCTTTCACTGAAAAGTAATTATCAATTGATGTCCTCCAAACAAAATTATAAAATAAGTAATTGATTTAATTGAACTTGAGTAGGGTGTCATAGGCAGGTTGACAGGTAAACATGTAAACAGGTAAAAATGTAATTAAACGCTTGGACAGGTAGGAAGGTACAAAAGTAGATAAGCTGACAACTTTGACAAGTAAATTCTCAGACAGGTAGCATAGACAGGTAAACAAATAAATTGTTGAACAAATCAAATACTTATTGATAAAATCGATTATTTACACACATAAGGAAGTTTATGCAACTTGCCTTTCTATAATAAACTCTATTCTAATTCGTGTACTAAAAATGTATTTTATGAAAGTGAGGATGTCAACGGTAATCAGTACAAAAATCAAAAAATATACATAGTCTATTTTGATCCACTTTTTTTATTTGAGGGATGACTGTATATTAGTAAATGGAAGTCAATAAAACATAAAAAAATTATACACTTTTTATAGGGCCCTGATATCTTAGGATGTTCTTTAAGACTATGAACTATATAACTATGAAAAGTTTTACTGAAACCGTCAAACATTTAATTTTAACAATTAACTACAATTTAACAACCTGGGCCTTCCTCAAAAACTGATCAGAATTTTTGCCCAAATAATGGGGTTTGAAAATTTTGAAGACAGTTCAGGATGTTAGCAAAAACGAGAAAAAAACAATTTGTAATTTGCCATAAACTGTAGAAAAACGGCTTGGCTGATTGTCTCGCAAAACTAATCAACACGAGTCATCAAATGGCTTTTAAATATTTGACATCAATGCAGCCGTTTTTACAAAATCGTCAACAAAAGTCAAACTTCAGCTCACACACGCACATATTTTGCAATTTTGGTGTCTAACGATTCAGAATGACTTAAAACATTAAATTTCAAAATTTTCAAAATAAGTGCACAAAAATGACACTGACAAGACAACCTTTCCGGACGATCCAATATTGAGTAACACAGAGAATTTAGAACTAAATGATTTTTCATAAACGTTTTTTTTACCATTTATTTCATTTTAATTAGTTGTGGGATAAGTGAACTTTTAAATTATAAATTTAATTATAAATTTTAATATAACCATGATAATTATAGTTATACTATGAATGCGTGTATGATGATAATAATAAGAGACCAATTGCGCATTTGAAGTGATAAGATTTGCTAGCCGATTCACTTTTATTATCTACTACATTAGACGATCGATAAATTTGAACTTATTCATAGTAATTGTAAATGAAAATTTGAAAATATTTATTAGTTAATTTATTAAAACCACTAACATTGCCGCCGAAGTGTCGAAGCATGTTTGATAACTAATAACGACGCTCGGCTTGGTCAGTTATCGTTGAAATATTTGCAGACAAAATATTCATCGATACGTCATTGTTATTATCGATAATATATTTTATCTCAAGCTGTTAATGCACAAAGATAACAAAAATATCGGCCAGTGATGAAAAACGCAATATTAACATATTTGAGGTTATACACATTCACACTCTCTATTATTTGGGAATAGACCACCATTCCGTACCCGATTGATTGTAGATGATTAGGAATAACTTGTATATGGTAAAGTAGAAAAAGTTTCTTTCAATTACCTGGTTAAAATCGGAACTACACACCGCGGTCACACACACTGCACTGAGATTCGACAACCGAAATAAATCAGACCGCCAACCATCAGCGAACTGATGACAACTGCAGGCCGTCAGAGACCAACTATACAATGTTGAAGTGTCTTATCTTTTCGCTAGCGATTAAAAAGATTACGACATCGTTCCGAAGTAACATTACACACAAAAGCGTTAAAACTTAATTCAATATTATCGCAATTATAAAGTTGAGCACGTGAATACGGAAAACGGATCCCATTGGCCACGGCGATCCCATTGGCCCAAAATTCAGAGCACATGATCACAGTCACCGTCGCTACCAGATTTGCATTGGCCGGGCAAAATAAATAATAGACGTAGTAAAATTTACTTTATACATTTTTTTTATTTTTTGCCAGAAAATCCAATTGCTAATTACCATTTTTTACATCAAAATTGGAAAAGGTATGTATGTGTGACCAAATTTCTTCTGTACAACGTTTTCTCAAAAATTGGTCTACCAATTTCAAAACTAATTGATGATTTTTGTTATGAACTATCGTTGATTCGCGTAATGATCAGTCCAGCAGTTTTTTCTATAATTAGCACCTGCAAAATTGTTGGGATATACACCGTGTATATTCTGTGTTTTGGTACTGATTACCGTTGACGATCACGCTCAAATAAAATAAATTTTTAGAACACCTTTTAAGGCCAAAAATCGAAAATGAAAATTTTTGCATGTCTTCACGTTTTAGGGCTTCTGAACATTTTAAGGCATACCTCAGAAAAAATGGACGTGTGTGTGTAAGTGAAGAGACAATTTTTCGTCGACGATTTCGGGCGTATGAATGAACCAATTTGAAAAATTCAAAAAGCAATCGATTCCTATTGATATGGAGATGTGCTGATTAGTTTTTGGCAAAGGCAGGTACAGCCATTACAGTGATACGGAGTAAAGAGTGCAGAAAATATAAACCGAGCTTTTGAGAGAACGGAGTATCCGATTTAATGATCTAAAAAATATTCTGCTTGTGTTGGCAAAACAATTGTTTTTAGAATTTTGAGAATTAGAAAAATATTTCTTTTCCTAAAAAAATTTTATGTATATCGAAAATAATTCAGATTTTAATTTTAATTCTGGATAAGGTTCTAAAGCTCACTTATATGCTTCAAATAAATAATTTTAACTTTGTAATTCAGTTTATATAATTCTTATAAATATTAGACAATGTTACAGTATTTATAATAATCTATTTCAAAACATTTAAAATTCCTCGAACATTTCGTTACGGTACGGGAAGTTACAGCAATTTGCCTCAAGGCACGATGCCATAATACACCACTAGTTTAATTCATGAAATTACAGATATTAGAAGTTTGTCCAAAAAGGTGTCAATTAAAAATCGAATTGATTAGTATCTAGTGAAAACCAAAAAATATCAAAATGAGCAGCTGAAAACTTTATCTCAATTCATATTGATCAAGTCGATTATTTACACATATCGTGAAGGTCATGCAACTTTCCTCAAGGCCAAATACCATATAAACCTACTTTTGAACAATTTTACTTCCTTCTATGAGCTTTTGTGTTATTAGAAAACAACCCAGTGGTTGACCATTATTTATATAAGATTTGTTGTCCCATACATCAACAGAACCTGGAATTTTGTGGCAGCAAGGCTAAAACTCTTACCACAAACAATAAAAAAGATATTTAGTAAATTAGCATAAAAAACCCTTCACATTGTCAGCTCAAACACTTCTCATTTTAAAATCAATGGACAAATGACGTAACCAACAAATACTTTTGTAATCGCACTTCGTAATTTGTAATATGTATGTTGTTCTAAGCCTGAGGCAAATATCAATATATGAATCATAAATAGCAAAAGTTTTTTGAGAACGTAGTTTCTAAATCAATTCATGTTCCTCGATTGTGTTTTATCAAAAAACTATTTAGTATCGATACGATAAGTTTGATAAATAAATAACAGTATACAAATTTATAACAATCATACATGGTAATATGAGATTAATTAAATGTACCTTGAGACGTAGAAGAACCTGAAGAAATATTTCATGTAGAAAATTCAATCCAAGCGGTTGGGGTGCAACAGTCACTTACCTGGAAAAGAAAAAAATAATTATAATTACTTTCATTACATATTCTTACAAATTTAAATTAATATATACTAATGGCAACATGTGTTGAATAGATGTTTTCTTGAAGGTATTCTAAAACGTGACACAATTCAGAAAAATTTCTTCATCATTGATGATTTAGCAGAAGATTAAAATGTGTCTATCAAAATGTATGTGGGAATCATAAGAACCTGTTTTAGAAGTTGTGTATCGTAAATCTTCAACAACAATCATTTTCGAACAAACGCTGACCTACGCAATTGGAGTTGAGTATGATATACAATATTACGTAAAATTATGTGCTACTCATATAAGGCAACAAATTGAAATGACAAACTATATCAATGAATTTATTAAAGAATAAATTACTTGAATAAAATCGCTAAAATACCTCAAGAAGTAAGACCTCTTGCCCTCGTAGTGACCTCAATCACTGGCAATGGTAGATGATTTGTATATTTTTTCTAACGCCTTCTATTCTTTACCAAATCAATAAAAAAATATTCTTGTATTTTTTTCACTACATTAGTTTATAGATTACAATTCTATAGGTCTACATACCCCTATTCGGAATACACCAATTCACCACTTCAGACTATGAGTGTTGATAATTTTGTTTAAAAAATCATTTCTACTCATTATTTTTTCAATAAGTATTATTTGCACATCCTGACGATATATTCTATGGGCTCTGGACCAATTCCACATTCACAGAATAGGATTTTCATAGAAAAGCAAGAAAGGACAAAATCAATGGAAGCAATGTTCAGGTCATGGAGCAACAGAAACAAGGGAGATTTGATTTGATATTCCAAATAACAAGAAGAATTAATTGGACAAAAATGATGAACAGGAAACCAATGGTAAAAGAGTAACTGAGTAACTTACAAGAAAATTAGTGACATGCAGGAGAAATTGTATAATCCGACAGCAATAGCTACGAAAAGAAGAAAATATGAGAAAACCTGTGAGACTTAAAATTGACATCAGAAGAGACAAAAAAGACAACATAACAGTAGAACTGCTTAAGGATTGAAGAATCTAATCACCTTGATAACTAATATATGAATAATCAGGAAATTGCCAAAGGTATTTTTGGATGTGCCAAACCGCATTTTATAAGAAGCCCAAAATTGTGCGCAGAGTGACCATAGGACAATATGCCTGACTTCGCACACTGGTAAGTTCTACCCAAAACTCTTACTGGACGACTCTAAAGTAAGATCAAACATCATTTATGAGTCAACAATATGTTCACAAGTGAAAATAGCCATTGTCCAACATTGATGCACCAATAAAAAGTCAGCCCTATTAGATGAATTCTGATCATCAAATATGGATGGATTAACCATTGGGTTACCATCTAAAAATACGAAGTAAGGAGAAGTTTCAGCCCAACAGCTTATAGCTCTATATTTTCAAGTGAAAATCGTTGTCACTGCTGTGTGACAACAGGCTGCTCGAAGTGGGTATCGAACCCGGAACCTCTGAATCAAGTCCCGTCGTTCTTAACCGCTTTGTATAAAAATAAACTGTGGAATAATTGATAGATCAGAGATCATAGATTTAGATAATAGTATGTAGCAGAAGCACAATGAATACCGTCGTGCCCGAAGCTAAGTATTACAATCAAGGTATTCTAAGATCCATCGTCCTTGTAACATCTTTGATACAACAAACGTATAATAATTTATCAATAAGTAAAACAAACAGTGCCAGCCGAGCGCGTTAGGTTAGGAATCAACCTGTAACACATATCCGGGTGCGGTAAATTACGATAATGCGGGCAGAGTGATGTGTATGTGATGTGTGATGTGTGTAGTGTGATGTGTGCATGTGAAATGCGATATGGCTCGTTACGCTTTTCGTTAGTCACATATTTGCGTCACAATGCGGATGGATTTGTTATCGCCGATGTGACATAACTTGGAAAAGAATTAAAACAACTAAAAAAAAACTCTCAAGTGCTTATACTAAAAATATCCGAAATCGTATTGTTATGCCATCTGGCCAGTTTTCTGAACAGACCAACTAATATTAGGTTGGTTGTACATGCAATAGTGCAAGACAGGAAAAGGTAGGACATCACGGAAGAAAAAAGGACTCCTCTCTCTCTCGGTTCATGATCATGGGAAGCTATACCATTTTAGAATCAAACTTTGCCAGTTCTGTGTTTAAATTTATTTGTGTATTGTGAAATTTGTGACATACCACAGTGCGTTAAAAATTAATCTTAAAATTTTGGTTTGAGTTCTTTTGATTTCGATGTAGTGCCCCATAACACCATACATCCATATTGGAAAAGTTAACAGTTCTACAGACAATTATTCTTTTTTTTTTCAAGATTAAAACCTGAAAATATTTGCAGTCTAGAAACACAATAAGAGTGTGCCTTAATAACTGCACCATACACCCCTATTGGTTTTATCCAGGGCCGGTCCTAGGGTCCTCAGCGCCAGCATGGCATTTTGTTTCTAGACCTTTCCACCCCCCCTATTATTTTAACTGTTTTAACAGTTTATCATTAAAATTATATATTATACTTTAATTTAATATAATAAAAAAACGTATAAAAATCTACATTTTAAATTTTTTTTAGAAGATCGAGGCGATGTGTCTTTTTTTGTTGTCGCATTACCGAACCATTTTTCAATTCTTATTCTCTATTCAAACTTTTTAGGACATTCAAAAATTTCAGTAATAAGACAAGTATATTTATTGTTTGCAACAATATTGTTAAATTTTCAATTGTTTCTAATTGGGGTTTTGAAATATCATTTATTTTGGGGACTTTATGCCATTTACTCTATTGAGCAAATCATGCCAAGAGAGCAAAAAAATTCTAGCCTTTCATTATTAAACATAACACTAGAACTACATGTTGTATTTTTTTTTAATTTTTCATTATTTAAAATATCCAAAATTGCATCGTGAACTTCTCCTAATAAT